CCCCAAAACCCCAAAACCCCAAAACCCCAAAACCCCGAAAAGGTTCAATAAGATTGAGAAGTTTTATATAAAAATGGACGAAGGCTGGGACAAGATCAGTAGGTATAGGGATACTATGAGCAAATTGTATGATCAGGGTAGGTGTCAGGGGTTATGAGTAGAGACAAGCTCAAACTTAAGAGCGAAGAGGGTCACTAAGACGATGAACCAGATTAAGAGAGTTCTTGTCAAATAAGAAACTTAACGCAACGTAGGGCTTTGAGGTGAGATTTTAGGTATATACCGGTGGATGATATTTATGTCATGAATACTGCTATTGATACTGTAGCACAGGAAAATTTGAGGAAGTTACTTCAAATGGAGAATGATCTTAGAAATGATAGGATCAGTCGTGACCAATATCATCAGAAAATGAAGCAGTATTGGCGCTGAGGGCTTCTAGATCATCCTAAAAATAAAAATTATGAGCTTAAAGGTTATTACCAGAATATTAATGATGACTCACAAGAGGCCCCAAAGGCTAAGAATTTTAAATAAGTTGATAGAGCGGCTCAAAGCAATGGATAATCCTCCGGAAATTATTCAGCATTGTCCTACAAAACAAAATATAGGGACCACTTCTGAAGATGATTCTGAAAGCATCTCTTATACTCTTTCCAAAATAACTGAGGAAAGAAATATGAAATTTCCCAATGAAATTAACAAAGATGTAAGTGGCAAACTATCCCTTGTGGCACAGAAGAAGTCCAGAAATTGTAGTTCAATGCCCAAGCTGAAGACAGGTAATTTGTTCAAGATTATTCCCAGAAAATCAGCAAAAGTTGACTCATCTTCAGAGGCACAAAATCATGAACGAAATGTTCTCAACCAAGCCAAGAGCAAAGCCTAGTAAGTTAGTGTAAACTAGCCATAGCTGCTCTTGAGTCGATTAATGGCTCTTTAAAACGAGAGCAATTAGACAAATACATCTGAAAATTATACAATAATAAAATGAAATAATGCTATTTCTAAGGCAAAATCTCGTCAAAAGAAGGAAATAGAGGCATCAAACATCGTATATTCCACTCTTATCATATTAGCTCTATAAACTCAGAAAAAATTCACAGCCAAAATTAAAGAAAAAGTTCAAAATTGGAGTAAAGGAACCGAAGAAAAAGAAAGGGAGGAACCAGAGCTTGCCAGAGATAGATTATGCTTCTCACAATGATATTTTCACCCCATCTCCAAATTTTCGGAGAAGGATAGTGGTGGATATGGAAAATCCTGCTGCTCCTCTTCCTCTAGGAAAGTCCTACACAATGTAAAAATCTTTATAATTCTTAGGAAAATGCAGACGAGAAAGAATGAAAAATTGTATGATGTCCTTGGAGATAGCGTATTTCTTTAGTAAAATGTATAGATTTCTTACATAAAAGCCCAAGATGAAGTTCAATTGCCCAGCAAGCCTGCTTACTCCATATTCAACTTACGTAAACTAAGTCAGAACAGTATGAGCATGATGACCGAGATCACGCAGTCTAAAAAGCCTGAGTCTACCTTATCAAAGATCATTCAGGACTGTGAGTCCACATTGGCTATTAAATGCGTAAATCCAGCTCTAAACTCTGTAGAAAAGGCCAAAAGGGCTCATACTTGACCAGCTTGGCAAAAGGATTGAAGTATTGCAAGAGATCAACAGGCAATTAGATTTCTAAAATATCCTGAAATTTTAGGGGTTTTGGGGTTTTGGGGTTTTGGGG